GAAACAGTGTCTCCTCCCCTCAGCTCTATATGACATTCATAGCCCTGGTCCTATTTTGTAAAGTTCCGTGTGTCCCCTTTTGAAATGTGGCTTCCTCCAGACAGAAGAGGAGACGCTTTTCAGTCACCTAGGTACCACAGAAAGCTAGCACAGCACCTAGCACAAAGAATACCCGGCAGCAGTAGGGCATACACATGATGACAGTAGAATTAGGGTGACCACACAATTCATCATCCAAAACAGGGGACTTTGGAGAGTAAGGAGGGTGCTAGTAATCATAGTATTAGTAATAATAGCATCAGGAGAAAAGGTGTAAACAGGGACTATCCCAGACAAACTGGAAGTATGTTTACCCAGATAATCGTCACTATCCTATGTGCCTCCTCTGTGTCATTTATTTGACCTACACAGTGACTCCACTTGAGAGCAACTGTTATTATCCATGCTTCACAGAGAAAGATGCTGTAGCAGACACATGTAAAGTAACTCACACAACGTAACACAACTAGGGGTGTGGGACTTGAACTCAGGTCCTCTGAATCCAGAGCTCATCTGGGCCATTAGGCCCACTTGCCTCCCAGTGGAAGATCTCAGGCCTTGGAGTAGGACAGGATGAGGTTCTATTCCCAATTCAATCCAAAGAAACTTTATCTCTGGCTTTAGTTTCTTCACCCACAGCCCTACGGTAATGCCTATTTCCAGTAACCCTGGAGGATTAAGTGAGATAAGGTATGAGAAGATCAGGCATCCTGCGTGTGCTTGCGACGTACTTGTCCTAGGAGTAAGTTATCCGCCATTTTACTGTAGCCTCCATTAGACATCTACTCACATAGTGGTGACACAAAGTGAGAAGTGGTAAATACTGTAACACAGTAGCTCAGGAGGTCACCAGAGGCCATGTAGTCTAATGGTTAAAAGCATGAAATTTTGCTTAACACTTAGGTTCAAATTCAGGCTGTGGGATTTGAATAGACGTTTCTCCAGAGACAATATGCAAATGAACAATAAGCACATGAAAAGATACTCAACATCATTAGTCCTCAGGAAAATACGAAACAAAAACATGATGAAATATCACTTGACACTCGCTAGAAAAGCCAAAAAGACAGACAATAAGAGATGTTGGCATGAACATCCGGTAGAGAAACTTAAACATTACCTCCTACTTTGCAGGTAAAGTTGTAAAGTGGTAGAACCACTTTGGAAAAAACAGTTGTATAGGTCCTCAGAAAGTTAAACATGGAGTTACCCTATGACCCAGCAATTACTCTCCTTGGTATAATACTTAAGAGAATTGAAAAATATGCCCACACAAAAACTGATAACACATAATGCATTGCAGCATTATTCATAATAGCCAAAAAAAAAAAAAAAGAAAGAAAAAAACCAAAATGTCCATCAACTGATGTGGTATACCCATACAATGAAATATTATTTGGCAAAAAAAAAAAAAGACATGATGCACTGCTACATGCTATAACATATAATAACCTTGAAAACGAGATGCTAAGTGAAAGAAGCCAGTCACCTGTTGCATGATCCTATTTATATGAAATGTAACTTGCTTTCAGAATAGGCAAATCTATAGAGACAGAAAGTAGATGAGTAGGTGCCTAGGTCTGGTGGGTTTGGGGGAGATAGAGAGTGAGTGCTAATGGGTACAGGGCTCCTTTTCGGGGTGATGACAATGTTATGACATTAGCTAGTGGTGATGGTTGCGTAACTCTATGAATGTACAAAAACCACTGAATTGTGGTTTGAGAGTTATATATCATGTATCCCAACAAAGCGGTTACTGAACAACTTAGGCTCTGCGGCTGACATTGAGCACTGGTGTCATCTCCTATAATAAAGGGCTCATTACAGAGTCTAACTCAGAGAACAGGTGTGAGGATGAAATGAGAGACATGTGTAAAACTCTTGGCACAGTGACTGCTTAATAAGTGCCTGATAATAGATAGCGATGATGGTAATGGTTTTTATTAAATGCATGGCCTTTTCGCTTGTCCATCTTGAAGCACAGGGTCAGTGGTGCTTTCAGCAACATAAGCTGGAGATTCATGACGACTTAGGATTCATGAAAACTGACCCTCTCTTTGACACCCTCAGATAGTGTGTGCCTCTGATGGCACAGCCTTATGGCTCTGATATCTGTTATTTATTTCTTAACTAATATAACTGAGACCTTGCTCAAGATGCGCTCATGAAAAATTACCCTTTTAATGGTGGAGCATTTAATGAGAAACTGGATTATCTACTGCATAAGTGCCCTTCATACAAATTAGCTTGGCCCTGGGTCCTAATCTAAATTGGGCTCCCTACTTTCCTCTAAATGGCCTAATATTTTCTTATTAATCTCTGCCCTTGTTCACCTGATCTGGCTCTGCCTCCTCTTATGGCGCTTCCTCCTTGGCAGAGCTCTCTGCCCTGACAAAGGTTTCTTAAGGCTGTCTTTGTGTCTGACTCATGGATATTTTTCAGACATGACATGTAGGCTGGAGACTGTTCCATTTTCAAGCTGTCTCTCCAATGGAGTCTTAATGCTGTCAGTGCATTGAGTATCAACAGATTTAGGACGCGTAAGAGATGGGGCTTTAGAGGAAAGCTGGGTCCATGGGAAAAAATTAATCACAGCGATGAAGAGAACAGGTGCGAAAACACAGAACACCAGCAAACCACAAGCCTGGGCTCTGGCATCAGACAGACCTGTGTTTTGGTCCTACTCAGTGAATCTGGACAGGTTACTTGCCCTCTCAAACCTTCAACTTAGATCTTTGTCTATAAAAGCTGAATAACAGTACCACCTCTAAGATTTCTGGAGCTAAACAGGTTGGTGCATTTTATATGCTTTGTATAAGACATGATATGCACTACCTGGTATTACAGTTATAAATAAAGCTTGGAGGAAGTCCCAGGTAGTGAAAGGGATGTTAGTAGTGACTGAAATAGGATCATGTGTTCAAGAGTCAAAGATGGTATTTATTACAGAGTAAGATGACCTTCCCAAGGACTAGACCAAGGCGTAGGCCACTCCTACCAAACACTGCGTAATAATACAGAGCAAGGTGACCTGTAATGTGGAGCCCTGTTGTTCTTTGTTCTTAGCTTGAGCCTCTCATCTCTGTCCTCACTGATCCCTGGAGGCTTAATTTTTACACTGATCACAGTTTCTTACTGATCATCCATGTGTAATATATGTCTTATGGAATGTTTCTCAAAGGCTTTACTATACTAGCAGTCAGTGAGGGGACAGTAGGATAAACAGCAACCAGGAGCTGGGGACCACAGGTCCAGGCATGGGTCTGCGGACATTTCTCCTTTGTGCTCTCCCACCCTCAGCATTGTATCTTCCACATGCTTTTCCTGGGCTCATATTAGCGGTGACAGCCACCATTTACAGGAAACTTACCATGTGAATACATGCTTTGCACATACTATCTCACTTAAGTTACTGTTCGTAATAACTCGGCAAGTAGATATTTAATCTTCATTCACCAGATAAGAAAATGGGGGTTCAGCAGATAGTGCAGTTGGTTCACAGGTAAGAGAGCCATGATTTGAAAAAGGATATCTGACTCTAAAGCTTGTACCTTCTTACATACCCAGCATAATGCACAGCACACTTTTATTTGCAGTCACCAAAAACTTGAGCTTCTAGAGGCACAGACTCTGTCTCATGTATCTGTTGCCAGTGAGTCGTAGCATCTGACACAAAGGAGATGCTCAGTGAGGGATTAATAAATGAATGAAATGCAAGTCCTGTTTTGTCATCAAAAAGTATTATACAATGGTTAGTTAGCTATTGCTGGGTGGTTTTTTTTGTTTTTGTTTTTTTCTATTTTCAGCATGTCCTCAAATAATCCTCATCCCCACATTATAGAAAGGCCTTAGTTTGTACATCAAATAGACCAAAATGGGCTAAGTTATAGCTAATGTCCTCAGCTCTAAGTTTCTGACCAATGATGAAAGGCACGATAGGGGAGGTATCAGAAGCTGAAATTAATGATGCCCCAGGGGATGAATATCAAAAGGCTAGGAGGTTCCAGGTTTTAAGAACCACGTGTGCAATGCCCCAACCTGTGAGGAGTTTGATAAGGTTAGAAATTTGAATTTCTTTGTCTTCATATTTTTTTCTATATGAACTTGAACAAGCTTTTTGAATTCTGTGACCTTCACTTTCATCATCAGGAGCATGGATATGATTGAGTTGTTAGGAAGAATGGGGACGCAGTTTGTGAAACATTTCCTATGAAACTCGTCCTCAGTTCACAGTAACTTTACTGTCCATTTTATGTGGATGTGTTTGAACTTCTGGATGATATGTCTTAGCAAAACATTATGTTAATAATTACAGAGAAAGCCTGTCGCAAGGTATGGACACGCCATACCAAGTAGTGTGGAAGGTTATTTCTGTACACACATGAGTTAGCAGAAGAGATATTGTGAAACCATTTTTTGATAATTGTCCCCGGGTCATTACTTGATACAGAGCAATTACTCTGGAGTCTATCTATAAAACAGCCCATGGAGTTGGGTGTAAGGAGGTTTCTTGGACCCTGGCCAAAGTCATATTAAATGCTAGGAATACCAAAGAGGCTCAATGCTAATACTATTCTAATAAGAATGTCAGACATGAACTCTCAGTGGGTGATTATCATTTGTTGAGTACCTAGTGTGTATCAAGCACTGCATTGGGTGCTTGACACATGGTGTCTGATTTATTTATCTTAATGTCCCATTGGGGTTGGTTGTTTTTAACTTTTTTTTTTCTGTCCTAAAAAATACAGGCTCAGAGAGGAAAAGTAATCTGCCTCAGGATTTAAAAGGCTAGAGACAGAATTTGCATTTAAAAGTATTGCCATGTTTTTCTACTTGGTCCAATGATTTGACTTTCCTAGAACATAGAAGAAACACGAGAGCAAATCTCAGCGCTGTGGATATTCAAAGCCAACGTGGCTCGAACACCTATATATCTGAATCCCGCTTTTCTCTGTTTGTAGGTCAGGATCGCAGCGAAGCCACTTTGATAAAGAGGTTTAAAGGTGAAGGCGTCCGGTACAAGGCCAAACTGATCGGGATTGATGAGGTTTCTGCAGCTCGGGGAGACAAGTTATGTCAAGATTCCATGATGAAACTCAAGGTGCTGTGTAAACATTTTAATTTAAATGTCATAGGTTTCATATGACTGAGAGAAAGAAATGATTATATAATCATTATGAAAAAAATTTTATTCAGTTATTGGTAAATTTCTTGGGTCACTGATGAATCACTTTACTTATTCATTAGGAAGAGAATTCATTCAGCAAGTATTTATTGAGCACCTCCTAGGTGGAGGTATTTTATTAGGCTCTGTTTTATCATTTTTGTGTATAATATTTTATTCAATTTTATCTTCATTTGTGCAATGCCTGAAAAAATAAAGTAATATCACTGAATTACATATAGTCCCTTAGATTTTATGAATTTTCACCACTTCGTTATTTTTAAACAAATTTTATATATTTCACCATATGATAAATATGGTAAAAGATGCTATGTTAAGATAAAAGCTGATTTTATCCATTCTTGTAATTTCTATTAATGTCCCTCAAATACTTTATAATAAAGGAAAAATATTCTTTAAAGTAATATTTAACTAGATATTGAGATTTGGTGATATCACAGAGAAGTTTCTGATTTTAAATGTTTTAAAGAAGACATTTCATTGAGAAATCTAAGAAACAAATTGGAAAAAAAATTTCATATACAAAATAAGAAAATTATGATATTAAATGGCTATTAAAAACATACAAAAAAGAAAATTGTTTGTTCCTACATTCTGGTCTCCATACCATCCACGTTTATTTCTATTTTTTAAATAAGTGACGTAAAACATTGAAAGAAACCCAAATGATTTACCATTCAGTCTACAAAATATTTTATGTATTTAAAACATATGATTTAATTATTTTACTGATTACAGAATTCACGAAATGTTCATTGTAAAATACTTTGAAAATACAGAAAAGTATTAATGAGGAAAATTGAAATCATCCACAATCCCACCACACAAAGAAAATCAGTATCAGCATTTTTAAAGTGTGTAACCTACCATCTCACTTTGTGTTTCTATATACATTATATGAATTATACACATACATAATATAATTGGAATTACTATTTATATAGTTTTATATCCTGTTTGCTCATCTAATAATATATTATGAACATTTATTTTTTTCATTACCTTCAAATAGTCACTGAGGATACAACTTGGTAGTGTAATTTTTTAAAATGTAAGCGGAAAGGAAGGAAAAAAAACAAGGCTGGCCAAAGGCTTGAAAGTATTAAGAGGACAATATCTGCAGAATACATCTACATTGCCTTTTCGTTACTATTTGCTTAATAAATCACAGCTATTATTTTTGTTTATACTATACACATTTTCTCAGCAGTTGAAGATGTATATCAGATTCTGAGAGTCAATATAGCGTGACTGTGTGAATCATCATTTTTCAAAACTCTTAATTTTCTAAAATGTGTATCCATTACTTTTTT